ACCTGTCTGTCCGCTGCATCTACGCACACACTGTACCACACACACCGACACCACACACACGCACCTACAGCTCCTAAAACAGGCTACAGCCGTTGTGTATTTTATTATGTGAAGCACTAAATGGTTTTAGAAAAATATCGACTCTTTGTTTGTAGATATCTACTAAACTACAGCAAATACAGAGAGTAATGTAGGCCTGTTATACTGAGTGATATATATTATACACACTGCTCTGCTTTCTGCACGGACCTCACAGCTGTTCTCACTGTAAACATTGCGTCGTGATGAGAGCAGTTAATAAAATAATATCCAGGGGATGCATGCAGAGCTGTCATTGGCTAAGATAAGTCCGGCCGTGCGTCACGACTCTTTGAAACATCTCTGTTCCCGGAAATGCATTCACGAAGGAGCCGCGAAGGAGCCGTGGAGGACCCATCAGTGTATCCTCGGTTAGAGCTCCTCCAGAGAGCCTCCTCGACGATCGATCCTCGGTCCTCGAAGTGCATTTAAAGAAATTAGATGTCCTTCAACATGGAGGACCGAGGAGTCGAGGAGTCGAGGAGGGGGGATTTGATGAAATGAGAAAGGGCCCCGGGCTAGTTGCACAAGATGGCGTCTATCAACTTCCGGCGGCTGGGTGTGCGGTTGTAAACTTCCGGTCTACAGTAGCGCGGTAGAGGGAAGAGCGATAGATAGCGTATAGATAGCGAGAGAGATAGCGTATAGATATTATACAGGCTCTATTTTACACTTGATGTCTCCAAGACCTACCGAAGGTTAACATCAGTGATGTACATCGGCTGGTACAAGCGCCAGGCTCAGCCCGAGGAGCAAAAGAGAAAAGGGGTTCAAGATGTAGCTACATATCCAGCTACGTCGACAATTATGAAGGTAAGTGACAAACAAAGCTGTAGTTACTGGCTAACTTTGACAAATTGACAGTTTTGATACAGTGTAAAGCGTTTTAATGATGTACTATTACGTTTTTTTGGATAACATGAATGATATTCAATTCCCCACAGTTTCAAACAAAGATCCACCTTCAGGGAGAGTGAGCATCAGGGCTAGCTGTTACAGGTCCATGAGAAAGCATGAAAAGCCTCACGATCTCAGAGTAGGGAGGAAAATAAAAAGTGTTAATCAGTTCAAAGCCTCAATCAGGTTCATGTTCTGGGGTTTTGATGTAGCTAGAGCCGTGATTTAGGATTCAAATAAACCCAGCTGACGTGTTGCAACAGATTACATAGTGACAATACATTTGCTCACATCAACTGGTAGCTAGCTACACTGAACAAAAATATAAACGCAACACTTGTGTTTTTGCTCCCATTTTTCATGAGATGAACTCAAAGATCTAAAACATTTTCTATATACACAAAATAACCGTTTCTCTCAAATATTGTTCACAAATCTGAAAAAATCTGTGATAGTGAGCACTTCTCCTTTGCTGAGATAATCCATCCCACCTCACAGGTGTCGAGGTGTGGAATATCAAGATGCTGATTAGACAGCATGATTATTGCACAGGTGTGCCTTAGGCTGGCCACAATAAAAGGCCACTCTGAAACGTGCATTTTTGCTTTATTGGGGGGGTCCAAAAACCAGTCAGTATCTGGTGTGAGGGGTAGGGTTAGGGTTAGGGTAATGTTGTGAATCGAGTGGCCTGTATTCGTCGTCCATAACATACGCCTGCCAATACCATAACCCCACCACCACTATGGGCCACTCGTTTCACAACATTACCCTAACCCTAACCCTATTTAAAGAGAATGGACGTCCATTCTCGGGAGACGTCTGACAGTGGTGCGGTTACCCAAAGTGACAGACCTAATTTTACCTCTATTTAGAGGCAATGGACTTCCACTCTCGGGAGAGCCCCAAACGACGGACTGTAAGCAGGGTGCCACACTCAAAGGCACGCAGAGATCCAGGGTGATGCACATGGCTTTCTTACCCAGGAATGTGTGTGTGAAACCTGGGGAACATGTACAGGAATCTGTCAATTTCATCCACATTTGACTCATGAAATGTACAGGAACATAGGTACGGCAGAGTCACTGCTGTAAGCAGGGTCCCACACTCACAGGCAGAGATCCAGGGTGATGCACATGGCTTTCTTACCCGGGAATGAGTGTGTGAAAGCTGGGTAAAAGTTATGTGAATACAGGGGCGGAGAGAGCAGCAGCAGCAGGCTGTGACCCAGACAGCTCCTTCCAGCACCTCGCTCTCTCCCACCCAGAGGACAGGCTGCTGCTTACAGAGTCACTGGTCCCACACTCACAGGCAGAGATCCAGGGTGATGTACATGGGTCAGAAAAAGTCTAAGTTAACTTTTGGAAGAACCATATAAAAGGGTGAAAATGGATAAAATGTACCCCAAAATAGTGTCTCTTAAGGCGGATATAGTCCCCTGACAACTCCCGTTACATTCCTCCAGAGTCAGAAAAAGTCTAAGTTAACTTTTGGAAGAACCAGAAAAAAGGGGTGAAAATTGATAAATTGTACCCCAAAATAGTGTCTCTTAAGGCGGGTAAAAGTTATGTGAATATGGGGTGACGTATATGGACACTTGAGCACCAGCAAGACCCCCACCTCCATAACCTTGTGCACCAGGCGAACCTGTGTACCCACACTTAAGCACTCCCCCACGGACTAAACCAAGAGGGAACACCGGTCAGAAGTTCGTGCCCCTGGTAACACTGAATAACAAAAATGCCATTAAAACTGCTATGCATTGAGGATTTTAGTCCGAGATGAGTGCTTATCTGTGGGTATCTTGTGTCAGCTTCGTGGACACCAATTTAAAAGGAAATGTCCATGATATTGACAAACATATTAATATAGAGAATGATGATTATTTTACCCTCAGACACATGCATAGAGCACCCCCAAGTGTTGGTTTACAGTTGGTAAAATGTGTCCTGCCGGTGACAGGGACTTTGCATTGGAAGTTGACATCACATTTCCATTGTGCGGACATGTGTACATTTGAAGGACAAGTCCCATGTTAACTCTGTCCATAAGGCAGACCTTTTCCTTACATGAGCAAACAGGCTATGTCAGACTTCCATGAAATACACCGGGAAAATCACCTCTCTGTGGCCGCTCCAAGACCCCCATGGTGGCCCGACCATGAGAGGGTTTGTGGTGCCCCGGAACCAGGCAGTACCCCAGCAGGAAACACGTTGTATGGTCAAAGGAGGAAAGAGTGATAGAACCGGGGTAAAGCAAAGAAAGTGTCCGAAAATAGTGACTTGTAACCCGGGTAGAGAGTATGTCATCTCTCGGTCCTATCCTCCAGACAACATGGTAACGTGGGGACAACAGTACCGCCGGGCGCTCCATCCCGCTCCGGCATTCACCGCAGCGGGGGGAGGAGGCATTGAACCCCTCACACCTGCCCCCGGAGGAGGCAGGGGAGTCAGGTACCCGGAGGGCGCACGGTGGACGGCCGGGGCGAGGCAGCCACACCGCGCTGGAGTCAGAGTTCCGAGTGTTGGAGCCGGGTCCCGGTGAAACGCAGGACGGAGCACCCGGCAGGAGCCTCCAGCAGACCCCCCCGCGCGGTTCCCTCGTGCCTCGGAAGAGGCGGAGAGGTGGGTGTTTTTCATCTGCTGGCGGACTGCCGGGGAGAACGCGCTGCTCGGGAGCCAGGCTCAGAGTGAGTGGCAGTGGGTGCCCGCGCACCTGCCTTTTACAGCAGGAGCACGAGCTGGTCTCGGGGAGGGAGAGAAGAGAGGAGCGGAGGCTGCCGAAACAGCCAGGGCCCTCCCCTCAAACACACCCCTCAATTTTGACAAGACAAACAGCAAGAAGAGTCCCCTTTCAACTCCCCTTGCATTCCTCCAGAGACCAGTTTGGACTTAAAGTTAAGAACCAGGCTGGGGGGGTCTCCAGGCATCAGATAACCAGAGAAAAGGGGTGAAAATGGAGAAATTGTATCCCAAAATAGTGTATCTTAATGCAGGTACAGTCCCCTGACAACTGCCCTTACATTCATCCAGAGTCAGGAAATACTCTGTTATATTTTGGGAGAACCAGAGAAAAGGGGTGAAAATGGAGAAATTGTATCCCAAAATAGTGTCTCTTAAGGCGGATAGAGTCCCCTGACAACTCCCGTTACATTCCTCCAGAGTCAGAAAAAGTCTAAGTTAACTTTTGGAAGAACCAGAGGAAGGGGTGAAAATGGATAAAATGTATCCGAAAATAGTGTCTCATTATTCCGTGCCAACTCCCCTTGAATTCATCCAGAGACCAGTTCAAAAACTTAAAGTTTGGTAAGAACCATGATTGGGGGTCCTCCAGGCAACAATTGTATCCGATCCAAAGTGCTCATGTAGCGGATACATTCCTCCATGATTTCTCCATGATGGAAAATAGCTCTCAAAATCCGGGTTTCCGATTTCGTGCAGATGGTAGCTTGGAAAAGATGAATGAATTTTTTCGACGGAGGAAGGGAGGTCTCGATTCCCCTCGGTGCAAATGTCTCCGGGGCTTCCGCCGGAAGCGCCGAAGACTTGAGCTTTTTGTAGCCCCTCCTCCGTTGGCACTTAGCCGTTTTTTCGAGAATTTCGAAAATCATGCATACTTCCATAACCTCGCACACCGTGAGACCCCGGACCCCCGGACTTAAGCACTCCCCAACGGACTAAACCCAGATGTTCACACCCTCCAGAACCTCATGCCCCTGGTGACACTTAAAGGTGGTGGATTTTGCGGTGCTTTACTGTCCGCCCACCAGCATCCATATTCGGCCTTATTCACAGCAGCACCACACTATAAAAAAGGATTTTGGAGGGTAGTATATATTATCCAAGCAAATCATTTAAATTGTACTCAAGGTATATATATAAGTGAGCATTGTTAGTATATTTGAATGGGTAAATTCTACCTACACTACCTAATTTCTGACAGTACCAACTGAAACACAAACAATCTGGGTAAAATCTACTTGAAGACATTAGGCCCACACTGCCCCTTTGCGCATGCGTCTGCAGTGATTCTTGGCTGCAGGCCAGAGGAACGGTTCTCTTTCGCGCCTCCCTCCTCCTGGTGTGTGGAAATGTTGGAAGGTAAGATATTACTGTCTATCATGTCCTACATATAAATGTTCACGTTTTTTGAGGTTCATCACAAGACTTGTTGTCTGCTTGCTTCACTGTTAGACAAGGAATGTAAGTTTGTTCTCATCTATTACAAGTGGTGAGACTAACGCGTTACAAGTAACGCGTTACTGTAACGCCGTTATTTTTGGCAGTAACTAGTACTCTAACGCGTTACTTTTTAAATTCAGTAACTCAGTTACCGTTACTACATGGTGCGTTACTCCGTTACTGCTTTAGTTTTTTTAATATAGTCAACAGCCAGGCGAACAGAGATGAGAACTGTACTTAAGTACAGTACTTGAGTAAATGTACTTAGATACTTCCTGTGTCACATGCGGAGACGGGCTGTGGGCGTGTTTGTGTTGTTTACTAACAAGACTATCATGGCGGCGGCGGAGCTCAAGTCTAGTTTCTCCACCTGGAGATATTCTCACTATTTCACTTTTGTCGAGCACAAAGAAAAGAAAGTTTCTGTTAAATGTAAGTTATGTCTTGGCGGGTCAAATATCTTATCTACTGCCCAAACCAGTAATTCAAATCTCTTAAAACAAATGCAAAAACAACATGCTGGGACGAAGCTAGTAGCTAAGACCACAGAGACTCAGCCGACGCCACTCCACCCCCACCTAAGCAACAGCGGCTGGATTTTAACCAAGGGACTGCTAGCCAGGGAAAAGTCGATAAAGCCATTGCACGGTATGTTGTAGAACACATGCAGGCTATTGCTACAGTGGAGTCACCCGCTTTCAGGGAGGTAGTTAGCATGATAGCATGTCCGGGCGGCACACGGCATATGGGACGGAAAACTTTTTCCAACTACCTGGAGAAAGAATATACAAAAATGGAAAGCCAGCTAATATCGATGCAATCCAGATTGCATATAATGCATGTCAAGTTGATCAACAGATTGTATTATTCTCCAATGCAATAACAGTACTGAAATGAAGGCTATAAGGGCATTCATGGGAGCCCTTTTTTCAAGTAACGAAAGCGTTACTTTTCACAGTAACGCATTACTTTTGGGTTTAAGTAACTAGTAAAGCAACTGAGTTACTTTTGACATGAAGTAACTAGTAATGGTAACTAGTTACTGGTTTTCAGTAACTAGCACAACACTGTCTATTACTCACTGGAAGTCGGTCACTGATGCTAGATAGCTGTAGCTAACATAGGAGCTAAGAGTAAAGCACTATGATGTTTAGCTCCATATTGTTAATAATTGTTATTACAGCAATAATGTGCATGTTGACGGCATGCCGTCTGAAATGAGTTAATCGTCACGGCGACAGTTGTATATTAATGTAAGTTAACCAGCCAAGTTGTGTTTCACGTTAGCATTGTGCATGCTTAGCAGAGAAGGCTATTGTTTGCTAGCTAAGTACTAACAAGAACAGCGCACGGAAGGCGGCATTCGTTTAAATCAACCTTTGAAGTTGGTCGTCCTCTATATAAGGTGTGTTTGTCCAAAGTTATTTTCCACACAGTATCCAATGGTGATGCACACTGCAAAAATCAGTAGCCGTTTATTAAATAACATGTCAGTTCAAGTAATATGACGAACTCTGACCCGGTTGAGTAGTATTGAGTACAGTAACGGTTTGCGGGGGACTAGGGGTGTAACGGTATCCGTATTCGTCCCGTACCGTCACGGTTCGGACGTCACGGTTCGGCACACGCAGTCACACGACGAATACGCCTTTTTTTTATGAGTGGGAAAAAAGTGTCATTCAGGGCAGTATCCACTACACTATATATAATCCAGGGGGCGGTATTGCGCCTAAAAGCGGTTTGCCAGCCGCCCTTAAACAACAAATGAAGAACAAGAAGAAACACAACAACAAAACGAACAAAATACAAGAAGAAGAAAAGTTAGTATGGCGAGTTCAGATAACACACAGGAGCTAGAACCCACCTGCTTCTTTTAAATCAGCTGTGTGGGAACATTTCGGGTTCCCTGTGGACTACAATAACGATGGAGTGTACGAGTGGTGGATCGGACGAGGACGGTGTGTCGCCGTAGTTCTACAGTGGTGCGGTATGCTAATGGTAACACACAGGGCCGGCCCTCGGCATAGGCAGTATAGGCGAATGCCCCCTATGGGCATCAACCCATAGGGGGCGCCGGAAAAAAAAAAAAAAAAAAAAAGTTTATATATATATATATATAAATATATATATAATATATATATATTTTTTTTCATAATACACAATTTCCCAATTTTGGATCAACAAAGGTCATCTTATTATCTTATACTAACAGAACTACGCGTACAGCGCCCATAAACTATGGCACACCCCCCCAAAATCAAGTTGAACTGCCCCAGTCCCAGTAAAAAGGTTTATGTGAAATTGTTATTTTTTTTTAAATAATGGTTTTAGTGTGCAATTATAGGTTTTAATTTATTTTGTATTTGTATTTGTATACCAGCTAAAATCTTGCCTAGGGCGGCAAATTGGTCAGGGCCGGCCCTGGTAACACACGCCAAACATGCTAAATCATATCAGAAGGCATCACCCAGATTTGCCAATCACCGGAGCCCGGCAAAAGACAGCAGCAGTTCAACAGCTGATCCCCGCTGTTTTTATAAACCAATAGAAATGAAAGCCGTGAGACCAAAATAAGTAACGGAAGCTTTTGGCATATGTTTTTCAACGACTTTGCGCTCTTGAAACACTTTCTTATTATTTATGATGTCATATTTTCAAGACATTCTTTTTAGTTTTACAGCTTGATGAAACCTTTTTGTTTGACATCAGCCATTATAGATAATATGGCCATCTGAGTGTACTGTGTATGGTTTGTTTTTAACTGTTTAATACAGTTCATTATTCAAAAAAGAGTTCTTTATTTTTAAACTGAAACTTGCACTACTGTTCAAACATAAATAACAACAAACCTGGAATTATGCATTTGGGACTTTTTTTTGCTTTTTCTTGTTGTACCGAACCGTACCGAACCGTGACCTCCAAACCGAGGTACGAACCGAACCGTGACTTCTCTGAACCGTTACAGCCCTACGGGGGACACATTCAAATGATGCACAAGGCTAACTAAGTTGAAGCTAGCTTGTAGCATCTCTCTTAGTCTATCTAACGTCGGCCGTCAGTTTCCTCGTGTGTCTGTATTCATATGAGCGTGCATGAAACGATAAATACTGAGACAACTATCTTGCGACTATCTCTTAGTGAAAAATAACCAACTGCCAAGCCACAGTAATAATGATTTATGATTAATTTGTCTTTTTTCAGGTAAAGCTGCAGCAATAGCCTATAAACTTATGTTTACATTAAGCTTACTGTATATTATGGTGAGGACTGGATAGATTACCACGGAGCAGAGCCAAAGCTCATTGTTATATATTTTAGGATTTTTCTACATAAAATTGTTTAATTGTGTTATTTTGTTGGTAATGTTCAGTGTAAGAAATGTGAATATAAGTGTAACATCCTCAAGTCCTATACATTTTAAATCCTGCAGACAATTCGTAGTGGAGTGGAGGTGGTGACCCTCAGCCCACGTGTCAGTGTCTTCAAGGAGAGATGGCCTGGTTTATTCAATGAGGCTCAGGTGAGAACATTACGTTTATTTGTTTCCATTTCAACTCACTGTTCTCAGAGTTGTGAGTGTTGTCCCCTATGCTCTTTATTAGATCAAGGAGGAGTTCCGACACATAACAACTCTTTCACTGGAAGAGACTTTGATGCTGAAACTGGATGGGTACATTAACACCACTCGCTCCAGCTGATGCGTGCCAAAGGAGGAGATGCTGGCTCCAGGATGCGCCCTCTTCTGAGCACAATTGATGAGGTACATTTATTTAAATGTTTCATTCAAGAATATGAAAATGCAGAAATAAGTCTTCTCACTAAAATGCATTTCCTCACAGGCCCAGAGTATTGGAAAAAAGAGATGCAGTGGCCAGGTGCCTGATTGAAGACCTTGGGGAACGCCAAGAAGATATTTTTCAAGACAGCCAGGTATGTCATTAAAGACTGATCACTTCAAGATTTTAACGGAGTTATTTCGGAGGTTGCTCTGATACCATTGTTTAATTTCTGTGATTAACCACTCTGACACCTAACAAATACATATGCAATTTATTGCTGTAAATCTGTAAACATCTTATTGTTTTTATAAATGGTTTAGCATTCACAGGAAAATGATTTAGGGATAATGTACTGATGTGCTTGCTACTTAACATATAAAACTACCTAAAAACAAAAACCTTCTTTTGGTGTTAAAGTGAAATAAGATAAATAAAATCATGCACTGAAAAGTTATGTTCATGGGAAAGAATCATCAATCAATTAATGTAATGTCATTGATTAGATCGATGGGCAATTTGACTGGGCCTGACATTTTTTATATAAGTTAGAAATCTTGTTTTATTTTTAATCGCTGCCACACATTTTTACAAATCATTTACAAAAAAGTCAATCCCTGGTTTTATTGATTAGGCTTAATGCTAGACCACAAAGCCTATATTGTACAATAGCTTCTTGTTAATATGCCTAATTTAAAGTGAATATGCTTTGCTTTCTTTCTTTTCAACATGGAGGACGAGCATGACAGCGTTGTGGACCAAACTATGAAGGTGCTTGTGATCCATGATGCCAGGGACAGGGGACCAGCAGATGTGTCTATTGTCATAGAGGGAGACAGAGTTTTGTGCGGAAACCAAACAAAGGCATTCGCATTGTTGATGGGATTCATCTACGCCCTCAACCTGGAATACCCCAACAAGCTCAAATACACAATTGAGGTATTCTAAAAACAGTTTTTGGAGCTTGATAGAGCCAAGCTGCTCAAAAAGGTCCAGAGCCGCAAATAAACAATTTGTTCTCAAGTGGATGTTGACTTGTTTTAGTGCAGAGTGACACAAACACAAAATAATGTGATGTGGACTGTAATGGATGTGGAGAAACCTTTTTCTGTTAAAAGTGGACTGTTTACTGGCACGTAAAGGTTTTAATAGTTGAGTAAATTGCACTTGGAAGATTATGTTAAAAATGTTTACAATTTCCATGCACTTTACTGTTAAAACAATGTGATTGTGACTATTTTGAAGATTCTGCTCAGTGTTAACAATTGAAATGCACTTAACTGTTTAAATAATCTCAATGTATGGCCATATTGCACTTATACATTTGGTCAATAAAAAAAATATGATCAATAAAATCTTGTGTGGCAATATATTGTTTACTGGTAACCTTACTAATAAAGTAATATTAATGTGTAATATGGATAAATTATTAAGTAAATAGCTGCCTACGATTAGGAGTAAATATTACTCATTTATAAGTAATACGTTTTAAGTAATTGAGTTAGATTTGACTTAATTTCTTAAAGTAAATCTTATATATTAAATATTAGTAACCTTTACCCAAAAACATTGGGTAAAATCTACTCAAAAGAAGTGTGTGCAAATTGTTACCCCCATTTTATTGAGTAGATCTTATAGGTTGGTTTTTACAGTGCACCCACCCTCCTGTGGAGGATGTTCTCATGGCCCTGGTAACACTAAAAGGAGGTGGATTTTGTGGTGCTTTGTCGTCCGCACACCAGCATCCATATTCGGCCTTATTCACAGCAGCACCACCCACCCTCCTGTGGAGGATGTTCTCATGGCCCTAGTAACACTTAAAGGAGTTGGATTTTGTGGTGCTTTATCGTCCGCACACCAGCATCAATATTCGGCCTTATTCAAAGCAGCACCACCCACCCTCCTGTGGAGGATGTACTCATGGCCCTGGTAACACTTAAAGGTAATGGCGTTTGTGGTGCTTTACTGTCCGCACACCAGCATCAATATTTGGCGTTATTCACAGCACCACCTGCCCTGCTGGAGGTTCACACTTTAACTTTTTTTACCCTCCTCTGCCTTACACATCCTCCCACACTTGAGCACTCCTCACTCGGACTAAACCCCTCCATGCACACCCAGACTGCACCCAGAGAACAGGCTGCTTCACAGCACTTTGCAAGCCAGGAAAATTGATTGAATCCTGGGTATACATGTTTTAAATAGTCTGATACCTCCAGGGCGCATCACCACATTTTACAAGCCAGGGAAGGTGCCTGAATCCTGGGTGAACATTGTTTAATTGTTTTTAAATGTGTGAAACAGTGTTTTGTCACTTTCAAAACTCTCCCGTCATTGCCCGGAGAAATTGGGTCGATGTTGTATTCAATCTGACCGTTAATATTCCAGTGAGACGAAGTACGTACAATGAATTACCCACTTTATTTTTCTAAACCTCTCTAAAAAGGTCAAATTTCACTTGTTTTGCATCAATCTTGATACAGGGTCCTTATTATATGTTATAGTTTGGATTCATAAAGCTTTTAGTCTACTAACCCATCATTCAAGGGTAGTTTTCACTATAAGTAATGGGTTTTTTTTAGGCGGACATTAGAATTTACATGTTTTTACTATGTTCCATCTGAATTTACTTTAAAATAAAAACATCTATATTGTACGGTGGCCCTGAAGTGCAAGACACCACAGCATTTCACAAAACACAACAGAATTTCAGAAAACGCAACAGCATTTCAGAAAACACAACAGCATTTCACAAAACACAACAGAATTTCAGAAAACGCAACAGCATTTCAGAAAACGCAACAGCATTTCACAAAACGCCACAGCATTTCACAAAACGCCGCAGCATTTCAGAAAACACCACAGCATTTCACATTGGACGGAAAGGGTATTCCTTAGGGAGAACACTTATTGTTTGTGATTGGACAGAGCCAGCCAGAGAAGCACTGCTGTGATTGGTTGTTTTTGCTGCCAATCAAGAAATGACTTCGTGATTGGCCCAACACATCAGCCGTTAGCTGTTAGCACACACTCAGAGCTCACAGCTCCTCATATCTGTTCAGAAACTGGACAAAAGTTAAAGATATGCAAAACACAGACTGTCTATGTCATGGCGAATACAGTCGCTGCTTTATTTATGTCTGTATGATGTTGTTGTGAGTGTGGACGGAGCAGCTACAGCTTAGTTTAGCCTGATCGATCCGATTCCGATAGGATTTACATGGAGATACGCCCCGCCCCCTCTCCAGCGTCTTTTTTGAATGACAGGAGTAAACACAGAATTAATGCTTTATTAATTAATGGTTTTTAAGGGGCTTATCTCCATGTAAATACTATGGTAGACTACCCAATATTCACATCGCTCTAATCGCTCGAGTTTCACCGCGGCTGTCAGCTGTGTTTGCTCCTGTCATTCAAACAAGACGCGCTGGAGAGGGGGCGGGAAGTATCTCCATGTAAATCCTATGAGAGATACCAACTACAATAAAATGAACATATTTGACCGTGATTTAATTGTAATACACGTTTCAAAGTGATGCCGAAGTAACTACATACTGATAACGGTTAGTAAAAACCATGAATTAATGCTTTGACAAGTCTGCAGACAAGACGGCAGGTGAAAAGCTTTTAAAATGCGTGTTTTCAGAATGGAATCGGATCCATCAGGCTAAACTAACCTGTACTGTAGCTGCTCCATCCACACTCACAACAATGTCATACAGACATAAATAAAGCAGCGACTGTATTCACCATGACACAGACAGTCTGTGGTTTGTACATGTTTAACTTTTGTCCAGTTTCTGAACAGATATGAGGAGCTGTGAGCTCTGAGTGTGTGCTAACGGCTGATGTGTTGGGAGGGACCGGTTGGGACTAGTGCTGCGTACCTGGACTCACATTCAGGTTCAGGTCCGGACTCAAGTCCAGAACCCATGGCTTGTGTCAAGTTGTGTGAGTAACTAAAGTGAACTTATTGTGAGCTAATTATCAATTGAAAATTAACTCATAATCAACTCAAATTCAAACTCGTCAGGTTTATTGTGCTCCCTTCCAACTTGTGTCTACATTTCTCTACAAAGTACAAATGTCAAAAAAACACTTTTTGCCACTTAGTCGACAAATGACTTATGACAGCAACTACAGTGAACTACTACAAAGTTCAAACATTTATTTCATTTACCAAACTAAAGTAACCAAACAGTCCCTGAGCTGACTGAGCCTAAATCCCTAAAACGTTGCTGAAAGGTAGAGTGTAGAGTACTATATGCCTTACACTGTTACACACCTACTATACAGTACACTGTAGTACACCATGTATTTTCTACAACTCTACATGTGTACATTATACAGTACATACTACATACATAGTGATGTACATACTGTTAGAAATTAAAATCAATGTTGATATGGCGTAATTTTGAATTAAATACACTATTTAATTTAAATCAGTTTTACTCTGAAAAAAACGGAAGTTCACACTATTAACTTAATACTTTTATTCTGAAAATTATTCACTTCCGGTTAGCATTAGCATGTGGCGAAATGCTAAGTTTTCAAACCGTGAATCGAAGGTGAAATGACATGTGATGTTGTACACTGAGCACACTGGGATTAGCACTCATTTATTGACGCTGAATAACGTTTATCAGGGAATGTTTAAATAACCACAGACACCAGAATATACGTAAGTGCTAGTTTTTTTGCGAGTCCAAGTACCGGTTCCCGACGTTCCGGTTTTAACCGGACTTGAACCGAAACTTTTTACAAGTCCAGTACCGGTTCGGCGTACCGGTACGCAGCACTAGTTGGGACGTTGACCAATCACGAAGCGTAATTTCTTCACTGGCAGCAAAAACAACCAATCACAGCAGTGCTTCTCTGGCTGGCTCTGTCCAAT